TGACTTGGTACAACTTATACGGTTAATTTACTTCGTAGACCTTTTGGAATGGAACATTTTTATATAATCGATGGACCACTAAACAGTCTTGTTATGCTAGAGTTTTTAATAACGCATTACAAGCAGTAGATATATATGTAAATGCATTTCTACAGGCCGGAGACACCGTTATAATGGACAATTGCGGGTTTCAGCACGGCCGGTTTGTTCAGGGTCATATGAGGACTTTGTGTAACCAACAAAATGTCGAACTTTTGTTTCAACTACCATACCATCCAGACCTGAACCCATGCCAAAACTGTTTCAAGGTTATGAAGGATATTTTTACGACGCCACAAGGTTTGCTTCAGATTGCACAGAAATAGCTACATGCGATGGTCTAAATACTATAACCCTTTCAAAAACACTGTCATTGTTTCGTGGATGTTTGCATTGTATTTGTTAATTAAAAATATTAGTAAATGAAGTAAGCTTTTATTATTTTTTTCCGATGCTATGAAATTTTCGGTGTGTTTGGCTGAATGTGAGACATATGCATTACTTTGGTATCGATTCATCCAGAGTAAATTCTTGATTATGATTTTGACAATTTTCAATTTTCTTTTCTGTCTGAAACTACAAGGCTAAATATTTTTAATCAGGTGAAAATAATAACTGTAAAACCCTGTACAGTTATGTATCATATTTATTTGAAATGTAGTAGCAACAAGAGAGGTGAGCGAAGGTGTATCGTTAGGCGGGCCTCTTTTTTCAGTCTCTCGTTATCATCACGCTAGATTTACTGTTTGTCTTTTTTTCTATACAGCAATCATGTATTGATTGGATAATTAAGCCAAACAATATAATCGTGTGGTACATGAAGCGTAACTAAACGAAGTTGTAGAGAATAGATTAACTAACAAAAGTAAATTATGGTCAATTATCAGTCCAGTGGTTTTGTTTGTAGTCTTTCTATACGACTTCTAGCAAGACTTGTCACACCAGCTATAGAACGACTGTGAAAAGTACATATTCCTTAGACACTAGTGGTCGTGTATCGAGTGTAAATAGTACCTTTAATAGTGGTCAGGTCATTAATATGTTAATATTTTATGTTAAAACTGTTGTGGCATTAAGTCCAGTATGCAATATCCAGAATTTGAAAATATTATGAAAAAGCACGATATCGTATGTTTTGTTAAGACGAAAACAGACGATATTGATGTCATAAATTTTCCTGGGTAATGAAAACAGGAAAACGGTAACTAGCAGACGATCAGGAGGTAAAATAGTCGGTTATGCGGAAAATTGGAAGAACATGATAGAAATTAAAGAAACAGATTGTAAATATGTCATGTGGTTTTAGGTAAACGGGAAAGTTTTTAATCTAGATAAACCCGTTGTTTTTCGCGTCGTTTACATACCTCCGGAACATACTAAGTATTCTTCAGATGAAGCGATTAATCAGATTGAACAAGAATACTTACGTTTTTTAAATTATTCAAATTATATATGCCTTTTGGGCGACTTTAATACCAGGACAGGTTGTGATGATGATTTTGTTATTTTAGATGAAAAGGAACATGGGGATAATAATTTGGCTGATTTTATCGAAAATCCCGTTAATGCTCTAGGAGCTCTGTCTATCCCCACGAACAGTGCAAATATGGATAAAGGTAAAAATAGATATGGAAATACGCTGTTTAATTTTTGCAAAGGTAACGGCGTTTTCATTCTGAATGGAAGAATGGGAAGGGATAAAAATATTTGTCGTAATGCCAGTGTTGTAGATTATTGTATCAGCAGTCCTGGACTTCTGAAATCGTTCATAACCAACTCTCCATTACATTTTTTTGTGATAAAACCTTGGTAATTGACCATGCAGAAAATGTTGATTGTAATAGTCCCATTAATACTTTTAAGAAAATAAATAGATGGGATTCTGAAAAGATGAATGATTTTCAGAATAATATTGATATAGAACAAGAATATGTCCATAGTACACCGATGCCCTACTCGCACTATCATTATCTATGTTCAGTGGACCGTGAAATTGGGGTCAAAACTCTAATTTGGCATTAAAATTAGAAAGATCATATCATACGGAACATGTGTACTAAGTTTCAAGTTGATTGGACTTCAACTTCAGCAAAAAACTACCTTGACCAAAAACTTTAACCTGACTTGACCAAAAATTTGAACCTGAAGCGGGACAGACGGAAGGACGAAGGGACAGACGAAAGAACGGACGCACAGACCAGAAAACATAATGCCCCTACTATTATCGTAGGTGGGCATAAAAACATTTATCATTTATCACATTTAACTTGATTTATATCATACCTTTCTAAAATTGTCCCGTATATAAATTTTGAAATTATATAAAGAATAAGGTTTCAACTCCCTCAGGCAAAGATGACCTTAGGTAAAGGACAAGGTACGATAAGGCCTGTTTTTGGCCCCCCTATTTTCTCATTTTTTAAATTCTGTTTTGGAAAGCTAATTATTATGTTAAAATATTCCATGAGGTTTGAAGTTTGTTTGGGTGAACTTGAAAACCACTAATTTTAGCAACTGGGTGAGATGAGGGGGGTAAACTTTCTGTTATTATTCAAATATTGTAATTATTTTTTACTTTGCAGGTGTTCCGTACAACGAATTTTTAGTTTTTAAGTGCCTGCGCCAACGTGACCCAGGAATTTTTTTATTCCAATGTCTTGAGAACTGTTTTTGTTTCTAAATCGCCATAATTTTCTCCGGGTCACGTAGGCGCACGCTATTAAATTTTAAGAAACAATGGCCAAACATCGTAATTTTTCCTTCTTTTGGCGTTTTTTATGCCCTTTTACCCCCCTCAACTCACCCATTTTCTGAAATCAATGGTTTTGAAGTTCGTCCAAACAAACTTCAAACCTAAGGGAATATTTTAACGTGAAAAGTAGATTTCCAAAACAAAATTTGAAAAATGAGAAAATAGGGGGGCCAAAAACCGTCCTTATCGTACCTTGTCCTTTGGCTATGTTTAGGTACTTTTTGGTCATATAGCTCTTCATCTGTTTCGGTCATTAAACATCCTCGGCCTTGAAATATTCGGCTTTGAGCGTTCCTAATGATGGTAAATACAGAAAAGCGCCTCGGACGCATGAAATTAATAACGTGTTGTTTTCATTTTTTATCCGATAAGGCCTTAAAAGACATGTACGAAGTCCTGAAAATAGGAAGGATGTATCAATTTTCTGAAAAATGTCAGCTTGATCTTTTTGACAAAATGATTAAGCCCATTCCGTTATATGTTTGCGAAGTATGTGGGTTTGGTAATAATGATATATTAGAAAAGATACATTTAAAATTCTGTAAATTGCTTTTAAATCTGAATCCTCAACACCAAATTACATGGTTTACGGGGAACTAGATCGCCACCCGGAAGACATAGATATAAAAGTTCGAGCAGTATTATTTAAGGCATATTTTATATCCGGCAAACAGGCAAAGTTTTCCTTTATATCATATCAACTTTCTCGCCATATGAACGCTCATCATAACATGCAGACTAAATGGATTCTGTTTGTTCAAAAAATATTTCAAAATTGTGGTTTCTCATATATATGGGATACACAAAATTTCCTTAATAAAGATAGGTTAAAAATGATATGAAGCAAAGATTGTTAGGCCAGTTTCTTCAGAACTGGAACTCGCTTATCCAAAATTCGTCAAAAGGTATTCACTACAAAAAAAAAATTTCCAGAAAAACTGGAAATTTGAGAAATATTTTAATATTTTGGACTTTAAAGATGCTATTGTTCTCTGTCGATTTCGAACGACCAATAAAAAATTGCCGATTGAAACAGAAAGGTAGCAAAACGTATCACGAGAAAACCGTTTTTGCCTCCAATGTAACAATCGACAAATTGGAGACGAATATCATTATATATTCGAATGTACTTTTTTCGATAAAAAAGTAGAGTATTTAATCTCATATTTTGTAAAACGTCATAATACAGTTAAATACTCATGTTAAAAACTTATGTCAAGTACACGAAAACCAGTCCTCAAGAAGCTTTGTTCATGTATAAAAAATATTAATACTTGTGTTTGTCCTCCTGGCTAGGGACTTTTGTAACCTCTCTCCCCTGTTTTGTATATATTGTAAATAGTTATTGTGTTTGTTATCTCTGTACTTATTTTATGCATTGGCTTTATGAGAATAAAGATATATAGTACACGTATACGCTAAGTTTAAACTGGTTGTAAATAGATAGACTCTAATTATATTTTGTTATTATAACACTTAATCTGGTATATTTTTTTAACCTATGTCAACATTTTATTATTATTATTATTATCATTATTATTATTTTATTATTATTATTATTACTTTTATTATTATTATTATTATTATTATTATTATTATTATTATTTATTATTATTATCATTATTATTGATAAACAGTATTAGTGGTGCAGAAATGATATTGCTTTTCTTCTCTCCGATACTCGAAATAAAACATCAGTGTTCTATTACAATACTCATATATGATTGACACTTTGAAAAGCTTTAATAAAAAACACGAATGGTATGGGCTTTATATGTATACAATATATGTTTCTAAAGTTACCTTCATCAGGTACGCGCAAGAGTTAGGAAAGCCAAACATACAAAATGTTGGAGAGCACATAAACCAACGGAACATTAACGGATCAACAAAAACTTTCTCTGCTCAATTCAAATGTAAGATTTGATATAGCTATAAATATTTACAATTATGTTTAAAGTAAATTGCACAAATGCTTTATGAATAAACATTTACATACTTATTTGATTACGCTTTATATTACATTGCTTTGAACTTTTTTTTTGCTTTATCAAATAATAAAAAGGAATAATAACCGTACGCGTTATCTGAGAAACAAATCTTCAAAGAGATTCATCCTGGATATATTTCGTTATCAACAAGGGGGTGCAACGGTTATGAATCATATCATTTGATTGGAATTCTATTGGATATTAGCCAACACATTGTGCGTCACCTAAAATCCTCAGCCGAAACTAGTAATAAAGAACAGAGAAACAATAACAGTTGATCGCAAGGTTACTTTAGAAGTATTTTCCTATTCCAAAAGAAAATGAGGACAAAGACTTTCTCGTTATTGTTTACTTACTTTTTGCATTTAACGACAAATAATATTGTTTGGACAATACCATTAAATGATTCTGATAGCGCTATGGTTGAGATGCCTTTACTTACAAATAACCTGAAAGCACCACTGGTGGCGGATCTCGATGTTTCTTCTTTGAACAAGCAACTTAAGCACTATATAGATACAGCTATTTCTACAACATTAAATGGTAAAGTCAAGGAGATTGTTAAACATAGCCAAGATGAACTTAAAGCTACAATGTTGACCTATAAGGAAAGGTTACAGGAATCAAAGACTGTGTATGAGGAGGATTTATCTCATTTGATTGGCGGATTTAAATCTCGGTTTGAAAGTCTATTCGGGGATTTGACGGAAAATATTACAAATTTGACAGATAATTTAGAAGAATGGAAAAAAGGCTATACTCAAACAATTTCAGGTACAGTTTTTTCGCTAACTTTTTTTAAGGTCAAATGAAACGAGGTTCCAGTAATATTTATGTTATCGAAATTATTGAATCAATGCATGCATGAATATAAACTAAGTCCTGTATGCACATATTTTATATTTATTACCAACCTATAACGTATTATCGACAAATAATATTTCATGCAATAATTGTTGATAGCAAGCTAATTAACTTTCAAGTTTGTTGTAGAAGTTTACCGGATCGTGACATTGATTTAACAATCAACAAAGAGCACGTGGAGCATGTGACAAATAAGTAAGCCAAGATATTTGTTTTATATTTTCCATGCGTGCCAATTTGTTAAATAAACTTTTCCTTAACAGTTGTTAAATGATTTGTTGTGTTAAATTTGTTATTGAAGAATCAGTTATTACTATTTACCTTCCAGTGCACTTTCGCTTACATTCTATTATCACAGTTTCCCCCTTGCACTGGCCAAAGTTCTAAGCATTGGTCTCGTAGTTCAAGTCATTGCATACGGGAAAATATCGGCGCATTAGTGTACGGGAAGGCAATAGCAACACTTTTATGAAGATTTTGATAATATAAAGGATTTCCTTTCACAAGAAAGTTCATGTACATATGTTTGATAGTAAAAGACATTCAAGTATATAAAACATATTCAACTTTTTTTTAATTTGAAGTTTCATATGACTTTAATAGATACAATTAATAGAAACTTGTCCGAAGGTATCTTAAGAGCAGTTGTTAATCTCTGACGGAAAATCTGTCTATTGAAAATATCAGGAATTTCAGAATGAATAAAAAATGAGTAATTATGCAGACAATTTAAAGGTTTATTAAACCAAGGTATGTTTTACTAGTAAAAGACAATTATCATAGTATGTATAGTGTCCGGCTGAGATCGTGTTTTTTCGAGTAAATCGGTCCACTTTTTTCGAGTGTAGATCAGGTTTTTTCGAGTGATATTACATGCGATCAGATCGATTTACTGCTATTTCGTGAATACAATAGTTGTATTCGTGATTGTTCATCTTATTCTGAATGCTATACATGTTTTGAACACAAAATCGACGCACAATTTCCGTGTAGTTCACTCACAATTTAGTGTTTTATATTGTCCGTGTTTTTCGAGAGTAACATCTAAAACGTCCGGGTTTTTCAACAAATGGTCCAGGTTTTTTTAAGAAAATGTGAATAAGAAAGAAGTCAATTTTGGGCTTAAAAATTGACTTTTTCTAGTTTGTAACTGTTATTTAGCGAAAACAAGATTATTTATTCTTAATAAGTCACAAAAACATATTACTATGATGATCAAATTTAACCCTTTTTAATTTAATGATAACTTTCTGTTCTGAAAACATATTACCATAACCTTGCAGTATTAGGCTTTATAAAAAGTCATTGGGTCCCTTTTAAACCTGTCTTTAGAAACGAGGAGAGGGATTCATAATCTTTCCAATTGTATTTCATGCTACCTTTGTTTTTACCGTCCATACTATTTCATGATTGATATATATACAGTGACGAAAAAACATGGGAGCAAAAAACTAATGAAAAGCAGTAAAAAAACAAAATAATTCAATATAAACCCCAAAATTCTACTAAAAGAGTCCTCCCCAAAAAAAATAATACAATAACATTTCAATTGAATGGAATATCTCATAAAAAATTAACACAACACTTTACAAATTTCATGCGTCCGAAGCGCTTTTCTGGATTTAGGAGTGAATGATGTGCCCGGGAGAATAAGCATTTCCTACTCTGTGCGTGGTAGATCTACTTGTCATTTAGCTAACTATAAAAAAGAAGATGTGGTATGATTGCCAATGAGACAACGCTCCACAAGAGACCAAATGACAAAGAAATTAACAACTATATTTCACCGTACGGCCTTCAACAATAAGCAAAGCTCATACCGCACAGTCAGCTATAAAAGGCCCCGAAATGACAATGTAAAACAATTCAAACGAGAAAACTAACGGCCTAATTTATGTACAAAAAATGAACGAAAAACAAATATGTAACACATAAACAAACGACAACCACTGAATTACAGGCTCCTGACTTGGGACAGGCACATACATACAGAATGTGGCGGGGTTATACATATTAGCGGGATCCCAACCCTCCCCCTAACCTGGAACAGTGGTGTAACAGTACAACATTAGAAAGAACTATAAAAATCAGTTGAAAGAGGCTATACTCATCAGATGGATAAAAATACAAATAATACAAATACAAGTGGACGTGGCCGGGTACTTGTACATCCAAACAACAAAAAGACACTAAGTACAGATCTGAGAGTACTCGCAGTTACTTACAGCTAGTTCAAAGCCACTTACAACTAATAAAAAAAAATCATGCATCTAAGACTAAATTATCAATCCGTACACATCCAACATCCAATGGATTTAGTGTAAAGACGTCATAAACAGTCAGAGAAAAACATGACCTTGTGCAATGCCAAGATACAGGTATCGACAGATTGTAGATCCATGAATGTGTATATGTATGTAACAATAATATTTAGTTTGCTTTTAATTTACTGATAACAAAATCAATATTAGTACCAATAAAAACAATATTGAATGATCTAATTACAGTGTTGAATTGCTAACCTTTTAGAATAAGTTTATTTAAAGGATCGATAAGTTTTCCAGGATCGTTTCTAAATTTCCGGGCACGGTAAACAATATTGCCGTTAAAATGAGGATGTACAATCCCGTTTGAAATAAGTTTTCTACAGGTACAACCAAACTTCAAAACCAAATCTTTATATCTGTGGAAGAATTTAGTAAAGGTTTTAAGTAATTTGTGGTAAAGAAATCCCTGGCTTAATAATTTACCAGTAGTCAAAATGAACGTCCATTAACAAATCAAAATGCAGTTTGAATAAAAAGAATTAAACGCTTTGCCTTTTTACATAATATTTATTTTGGAGTTAATAAATCTTTTTTAACTGATAAGGATTTAGGTCAAAGTGGTATCCTGTGATTTCACCCCTCACTTTATATACTTTGCCAGCCGTAGATGCTATAATATCAACTATAATTCCTTTCCTGAAATATTCGCTTTTAAAAACAGCAGTGCCTTTATTCATCGCGGGATTAGGACGTTACAGCACATATTGTCCCTCCTCTGGATAAAAGGCCCCATCGTCATGTAAACCATTAAGAGGGAAATCGGAAAGTGTTTCCCTGTGTAATTGTTGGCAAAACTCTGTTAGTCCCGGGTAGTATGACGTTATTTAATTGTGACGCTATATTTTACTCTTTTCTCCGGACAATTGCGTAGTTTTAAAATCTGCCATAGATTTGGAGAAATAAACACTGCCATAGATTTATGATTTGTATGGCATTTGTGACGTCATATTTGACATAGATTTGAAATCTGCCATAGATCTGGAACCCACCATAGATTTGATTCCTACAGATGTATGAAAATGTCCCGTTTTAAATAATAGAGGTTAACCAAAATTGGGACACACAAGGTAGAGAACAGAAAGAGAGATTTTGGATGCATCAGCTTAGTACTCTTGGACCTACTTGACTGAATGACAGAAATGAAAACCGTTTTATCAAAGACCAAAGGAATCGAAATCTTGAACTTTATACGATTTAACACATTATCTGTTTTGATCTTTTGAACACAATGTACAATAAGCTGCGAGAATATATTTAAAAGAAATGAATGATAAGCTGCAAATATTTATTAACAGCATCCGATTTTACCTGGATTGCTGCACGTGTCTGGTGAAGCTAACTTGTTAAGCGAAATATTTCGTGAATATATAAAATACAAAAACTATTTTATAACACTCATTAGTGTGTTAAAGTTGCATTCTTATGCATTTATATTATTCAATTTAGTAACTGCATCGGTTTATTTTCAAACTGATGCACGCCAAGATAGATTGAATGTTGATTGTTTTTAGACACTATATATTATCACTATATAATATATAGTGTCTAAACCATAGCAACAACATATGTATATTTACATAGCCTTGTTTGTGACATTGATAATGTGTTTCTGTAGAAATTAATCTATGATATCATGAAAAAATGCAGAGTCTATGAATTTTTACGTTATCCACTTAAAATTATTTTTTTTTATCTATGGTTGAACTATGTAACTGTAGTCTGTGTTTCCCAGGCTTTATAATTCGTGATCATGGGTGGTAACCCAATATTCAAATTTTAATTATGTATAACTTACTGACACCGGTTGTCTCAAAATCAAAACATATCAGGAATTGCAGGTACTTCTTCTATATCTTTTGTTTCAACATCTTCTAAACCTATTTAAAACAATATTTGTTGCAACATCTTCTAACCTATTTAAAACAATATATAAGCAGTCTTTAATAGACAATAATTTATATAAATATCAAAATCTACTAAAAATTCACCATGAATAAACTGTACAAAAAATTTCAATACTTGGGAAAGTTCATGATTACATCTTCATGTTAACTTTAATGCCTGGCTGAAATCTCATGCATTTTCAAAATTGATGATTAACTGCACAGCCACTTTTCAGATTTTAAACGTTTTTTTTTTTCAATTTGGGACATAAAAAGATGCAACAGTAGTATACCGCTGTTCAATAGTCATAAATCGATTAAGCGAAAACAAATCCGGGTCACAAACCAAAACAGAGGGAAACACATCAACTATAAGAGGAAAACAAAGGAACAACAGAAACACTGAACTGCTACAAAAACAAACGCCAACATACATAAAAACGGACTATTTGATAACAAAACAATTTACAAAAAATAAATAAGACAGACATGAACCAATGTCGTGCAACAATCACTTTTTAATTATGATGTCAACTTTATTAAACTGCGTTACAAAAGTTTACGGGAACTTATGTGATTTTAAGTAATGGCAGACTAAGTTGCATACTTGGGAAAGTTCATGATTACATCTTCATGTTAACTTTAATGCCTGGCTGAAATCTCATGCATTTTCAAAATTGATGATTAACTGCACAGCCAC